TCTCCCCAGGGGGGGGGGGGGGGGGAATGCCTTTCCCTGAGATCTCATGAGATTTCCCAGCACTGCTCTGCTGATATAATCCTCCCAGGATGCATTGCTTGGGCACTTCTTACATCACTAATGCCTAAGAGGACCAGGGAGTGGAAAGACGGTAATTTTTAGATTGTAAGCCCTCAGGGGCAGGGCCCTCCTTACCATCTTGTCTTGAATTGTATTGTGATTGTAATGTTTTCCTTATATTGTAAAGCGCTGCGCAAACTGTTGGCGCTATATACATCCTGTATAATAATAATCGTAGGTAAAATAAAAATGTTTAAACGAATGAAAGCAAGATGATCTATCAGCATGCAGAGCTGCACGGTGATGTGATTTTAATGAAAGGGGTAAACGTCCACTTGAAGCAAATATCCCCATGATCACCCGTGAGCCATTCTCACCCAGTTGAAGAGTAGATTATTGTTCCTTCTTCATGGTACGTGGGAATGTTAATTTACAGATTACAGACAACAAGGAGTTAAGTCTTTTATAGGTGGCATACTCGGCTCTTAAATGCAGGAACTTTTCTTTTTAAATATCAGCTTGATCTACAGGTATAATCGCTGCTAGACGTGTCCGAGAACTACAATCCTCAGCATGTCTTTCTACAATACTCAGGCATCCGTTTGAATGCTTTTCTTTAACAATAACCACAGAGAATAATCGGTAAGTCAGAGAAGTTGTGTGTTCTGTTCTGATTCTGTTGTTGAGATAATTTCCTCTTGCATTGTCCTCTCTGCATGGCTGTTCTATTGTCAGCAGCCCTCCCGGGTTATTTCCTCATGAGGAAGTGCTCAGTGGTCACCATTTCTCTGATGTAATATGTATTGAAAGGAAGGAAGGGGTGAGCAATGAACTTGTTTATAGGTCTGTGCCGACCAGATGATGTCATCTGTATTCATTTTATTCTTAAAGGGTTATTAAACCCTCAGGTTTTTTTGCATATAGCTACTGCTAGCAAGCAGTAGCTATATGCAAAAACTTCAACAACAAAAAATCCCCTTTCAAACAGGTTAAAACTTACCTGTGTCTTCGCTGCACGCTCCCCTCCGAAAATCTGAAAAATCTCCGGCGGCCGCAAAGCATCTTGGGGCGGGCACATGCGCAGTTCAGATTTTCGGCCGGGAGACGAGGAGAGACGCAAGGTAAGCCTATGGACAGCGTGCATCCGCACAGACTCCGTGGGACAGGAAGTGCCAGCAAGCACAGAGGAGTCAGCGCTGGAGGGACAGATGAAAACGACAGGAAAGAAGAAGAGGATCGGATTTAAGAGAGATCATTTAAGGTAAGTGCTGACAATAACACTTTGGGGGGAGGGACATTTTTTTTATACTTTAATGTCACTTTTAAGGAAAACGGTAAACCAAAAACATAAAAAGACAGGCAAAGTAAACATAGAATGTCCTTATTATATGTATAATGGGTTCACATATATTTATTTCTGTAATTTTGTATGCGTGGAAATAAAAATTATAGACAGTTTTCTCTCGGATAAATATTTAGTTTCCCCCAGAAGTTAGTTCATCGGTTCAGATTTCACAGGCACTAATTTAGTCCCTTTGATGGAAATCTGCTGTTCACAGAACTGAATGGCTCAAACTGAAATTTACTCATGCAAGTAAATGAGTTAGAGCAGTGACTATTTCCCAATGTCTCCATCTCCTCTCCCCCCTTCATAAATAAATCCATTAAAGGTTTCATTTAAACAGAGCAAGACTGAAGGCAGGCCGCTTTTATTGTCCTCTCTCTAGAATTGTATTTTTTTACAGATATGTATATAGTGCCGACTTTACATACTGCACATTTACATCAGTCCCTGTCCTTGAGGAGCTTACAATCTAAAGTCCCTTTAGGGATGCACTGATGTACTCACCCAAATGCTCCGATACTTCTCCCCTTGACCGGAAGTTCCAGTATGGGGGGTATTTCTTCTGTCCCGCAGTGCCGCGGGGGAACATGGAGCCGCCTTCCTGGCAAATCGGGTAATGACTCGCCACCCGGCTTCCCGATTGGCTGGGAAGTCGACTTACCGGTTAATCAGCATTGAGGCGGACAAACAGCTTGGAGCCAGCTTCCCGGGCAATTAAGAAGCTGGGTGGTGTGTCATTAACCGCGCGCCCGGCTTCTTGATTGCCCGGGAAGCCGGTTCTATGCTAGCGGAAGTCCCTATTATACATACATACATACATACATACATACATACATACATACATACATACATACATACATACATACAGGGCCAATTTTAGACAGGAGCCAATTAACCTTCCAGCATGTCTTTTGGGTGTGGTAGGAAACCGGGGTACCTGGAGGAAACCCACGCAAGCACAGGGAGAACTTGCAGATAATGTCCTGACCGAGATTTGAACCGGGAACCCCCAGTGCTGCAAGGCAAATAAGCCACTGTGCTGCCCATAAGGCTTTGTAAATCACGTGTCATAGGTGCACCATGCATTTAATATTTATTTGGAAATCAGATTTTATATAAGTCATAAAATGGTTAAAGGGCATCTATGGGGAAAAACAAAAAATGTGTATTTCTATATTGAATTTCCAGACGTTCTATCTCACTTCCTCTAGAAGTTTGTAAACTTATTGAAGATGCCCAGAGGATGTACTTCCTCAATGCACTGACACCATTTCACTCAGCCCTGTGGATATTCATTCCTTGTCAACCAACTCCTGAGGAGTCTGCTTTCTGAACAATGTAACATTATCATTGCTTGCTGGAAGCAATGCATGATGGGACATGTAGGCTTGAGAAATGGAGATTGTATCACATTGAGCAGCAGGGAAAGAGACACAAAGCACACTGGGAATCCAGGAAGTTGGTGAAAGTGATGGGCAGACAGAAGGCAGCGCTCACTACATAAAAGGGATTTTG